GACGTTGGAATAACAGCCTCGAAGCGACGCAAGAGGGGCGGCCTTAAGCAGCCCAAGAGGGCCCTAAGACATCCCAAGAAGAGCCCATACCGACCAAGCGTAGTCGGCATTCGCTTTCGAAGTCGGCTCCAGGACGCGGCCCGAGGCAGGACGGCTCGAGAGGCCCCAGAGACGGCCCACGAGGCCCCCAGGAGGGCCGATACAGACCAAACGCGGTCGGCATCTCGGCCCCAGATCACCCCGCGACGGCTCGAGAGGCCCCCAAGATGGCCCACGAGGGCCCCAAGATTGCCGATACCGACCAAACTTGGTCGGTATCAGAGCCCCGGATCACCCCAGGACGGCTCGAGAGGCCTCCAAGACGGCCCACGAGGGCCCCAAGATGGCCAATACCGACCAAACTAGGTCGGCATCGGGGCCCCAGATCACCGCAGGGCGGTTCGAGAGGCCCCCAAGACAGCGCACGAGGGGGCCCAAGAGGGCCGATGCCGACCAAACTTGGTCGGCATCGGGGCCCCGGATCACCCCAGGACGGCTCGAGGCGCCCCCAAGACGACCCACGACGCCTCCAAGGGGGCCGATACCGACCAAATTTGGTCGGCATCGGGGCCCCCGATCGCCCCAGGACGGCTCGAGAGGCCCCCAAGACGGCCCACGAGGGCCCCAAGATGGCCGATACCGACCAAACTTGGTCGGCATCGGAGCCCCGGATCACCCCGGGACGGCTCGAGAGGCCTCCAAGACGGTCCACGAGGGCCCCAAGAATGCCGATACCGACCGAACTTGGTCGGTATCGGGTCCCCGGATTACCCCAGGGCGGCTCGAGAGGCCCCCAAGACGGTCCACGAGGGCCACAAGAAAACCAATACCGACCAAACTTGGTCGGCATCGGGGCCCCAGATCACCCCAGGACGGTTCGAGAGGCCCCCAAGACAGCATACGAGGGGGCCCAAGAAGGCCGATACCGACCAAACTTGGTCGGCATCGGGGCCCCAGGGCCACAAGAAGGCCGATGCCGACCAAATTTGGTCGGCATCGGGGCCCCGGATCACCCCAGGGCGGCTCGAGGCGCCCCCAAGACGGCCCACGATGCCTCCAAGGGGGCCGACGCCGACCAAACTTGGTCGGTACCGGGGCCCCAATCACCCCAGGACGGCTCGAGAGGCCCCCAAGACGGTCCACGAGGGTTCCAAGAGCGCCAATACCGACTAAACTTGGTCGGTATCGGGGCCCCAGATCACCCCAGGGCGGTTCGAGAGGCCCCCAAGACAGCGCGCGAGAGGGCCCCAGAAAGCCGATACCGACCAAACTTGGTCGGCATCGGGGCCCCAGATCACCCCAGGACGACTCGAGGCGCCCCCAAGACGACCCACGACGCCTCCACAAACACATGCACGAACACACACGCACACACACACACAAACACACATACACACACATACGCACACACACACAGACGACGACGACGACGACGACGACGACGACGACGACGACGACGACGACGACGACGACGACGACGACGACGACGACACACACACACACACACACACACAGACGCCGACGACGACGACGACGACGACGACGACGACGACACACACACACAAACCGATTGGAATCGTGTTAGGCTTATGTTGTCAAATGGCACCGAATCCTGATCGCCACGGCCCCCGCCCCCCACCCCCCGCCCGACATTGCGTCGCCGCGCGCCCACCGCCCCAGGTCGAACAATCCAACTGCAAGATTCAGCGATTGACACCCGGAGAGACAATACAGAAGCCTGGCTCAAAACAAATCTGCGCCACAATACCCCGCGCCAACTGCGCGTTCAGCAACGGGCCGGCCCGCGCGCCGAAATCCGCGCCCTCGCCTTCCACCCGGGTGCGATCAGCCTCGGGCTCGCCGTTGGCAAGACGCCGCGCCGCGACTCTCAGCTGCCCAACTTCTCGCAGCCTGGCCCGCCCGACGCGCGTCGCGCACCGGCCGAGAACGAATGGGGCCCTCGCCCGCCAAGAAGCAAACTGGTCGCGCAACGGGGCCACGCGCGAAAGAGTGCTCCGGCGAATACCTTCTCCCACAGACGAACGCCCGGCGGCCCTGCCTGGCCCGCGATGCCACGTGGAAAAACCGACGACGCGCATGGGCGACGGCGCTGACGAACCCGGCGCGCCACGGGCCCACCGATCGGACGCGGCAAGGATTGAAGCGACAGGCCACCGGAGCGCAGAAGCGCAGTGGAGGAGGCGGGGGGGGGCCTGCAGACAATGCCGGTCGGATCTGAGCTGTCACCGCAAATCTTCTTGAATCTGGAAACTGCGTTCGACCGCGCCCGACTCGACCTGCCGATTCGCCGCGCGCGGGCCGGGGGGGGGCGGGGGGAATCGTACCAGGAACCGAATCCAACGCTGACGCTGGGGCCTCTCGCATCATGCCTGAGCCCCTTTGGCCAAGTTGGCCCCCGAGGCCCCGGGGCCCTCCTCGTCGCAACCAGAAAGCCCCGAATATCCCTGCCCAGGAGCGCCAGTCTCGAACTCCGCGGGGGTCGAATCGCCAACGCCCGACCCAGCGCGGACGCCCAGATTGCCGCCAGACAAAATAAAGAATAGCTCAATGCGTCCTGCCGCCGCCGACGGCCCGGCGACAACTCGCCCCCGCTCGGCCGCGGGGCCGGAGACCCGGGCCCCACCTGCCGCTTGGGCTGGGGCACCGGGCGGAGACGCTGACACGGAAGCCGCCCGGTCAGAGGCTGACCGCCAGGGCCCCCGACGGCAAGGGAGAGGCCGACGCGCGGCCTCCACGAGGCGCCCGGCACGACGCCCAGCTCGACGACGCATGGCAGCGCTGCTTCAAGGACCAAAGCATCGCCTAGCACGCCCCCCCCCCCCCCCCGCGCTGGCATCGCGCGCGAACCCCGCTGGCGGTGGAAGGACTCGCCCCGCAATCTGACTGACGAACCCTGACATGGAGAACACCTTTGGCCCCACGCTCCAGTCGCCTAATTAAGCAGATCGAGGGCAGCTGGAGCAAATGCGGGACGCCTCCTAGCTCGTGGAAACCGCCGACGCCCCCGCCGCCCATTCCAATGGAAGTAAGACTGTGAAACATGGCACGCACCACAGCGAAGCCACCAATATGCAGCACCGTCGCCGCGAGACCGCCCAGCGCGCCGCGCCCGGCGGCCTTGGGGAACCCAGAAAACGCGCCCTCTGCGAGCGGCTCAACCTGAAGGCGCCCGGCAACGAAAGCCACCCTCCACCTTCGCTGGAAAGCTCCGCGGCTACCCGTCGCTTGCCAGAGGCGCCAGCAGCGTCGGCAACCAGTCGCCGCTTCTTCAACCTCGCATTAGCATCCCACGCGCGAGCCAGGCTCTGAGGACCGCGGGCCTCAACGCATGCCATGCACTAATGCGAAGCTGAAAGGTCCAAGAGACGCGACCACGCACGGTCACCCATGAGCGCGACGCCCGCCAAAAAACGCGGGAGACCGAATCGACCCTGTCGCCAGACCTCATCGAAGACAAAACTGGCGCCCCGACGCGCGGCCCGCGGCGGCGACGCTGATCGCCGGACCCGGCGCCAGGCACTAGCCTTCAAGACACTGGGGTCGGCGCAATGGCCGAGATCTCTCCCGCGCCCGCGCCGCCCGAGGCCGGCCGCCGCTGCTCGGCATTTCCTGCCGCCGCGAACTTGGCCGCCGAGATTATGGCCGCCTCCTCCACGATTGCCTGCGCATCTGCTGCGGTCGCAGCCGATGCCGAAGCCGATGATATCGCCGTCTCGGGCCCATGGCCCTCCTTGGCGGCAGCGCCTGGACGGGCCCCTGACTCACCAGCTTCGGCGCGGTTCCGCTCTCCTCGACGACGCGCATCGCCGCATCTACCTAGCGGGGCCTCGAGTCGATGTCCCCCCCACCCTTTCATGACTTCGCCCATCCAGATCTTGACTTGCGCTCTTGGACTGGAGCGACTCCTCGATATTCACGAGGTCTGCGCGGATTTGGCGAAGCCCTTTCTTCTCCGCACCATCGCAGTCCAAATTGCCAGCATCAGCGAGGACGCTGAAATCCCACGCGGCCGGAAAACATATCCCGGCAAAGCAACCAAACAGCGATGTGTAAAAGCATAGCTGGAAGCATTGCCTATGGTATTCATGTAGGAGTGCTGGTGTCGAATTTTTTGTTCTCGCAGTCGCATTCGGGTTCGCAGTGGCAGTCGCAGTGGCAACATCAGACCCAGTCGCAGTCGCAATGGCATTGCCAGCGCCGGGGCAACCGGCCGGCCTCCCCTCCTCCTCCTCCTCCTCCTCCTCCTCCTCCTCCCTGCTCGTCCTCGTCCTCCTCGTCTTGCTCGTCCTCCTCCTCCTCGTGCAGCCGGCCGGGGCAGGCAGCCGGGGCAGCCGGCCGCCCTCTCCTCCTCGTGCTCGTCCTCCTCCTCCTCCTCCTCCTCCTGCTCGTCCTCCTTCTCCGGCTCCTCCTCTTCGTCCTCCTCCTCCTCTTCCTCCTCCTCGTCCTCTTGCTGGTCCTTGTCCTCCTCGTCCTGCTGCGCGAAGTGGCCAACAGTTGGCTCCGGGCATTCAAAATGTAGCCCGGGAGTGGTGTTCTGGGAATTCGAAGAGCACGAAGTGGCCTATACAGGTGGTTTCGGGCATTCAAAATGTGGCCCGGGAATGACGTTCTGGGAACTCGAAGAACACGAAGTGGCCTACAGTTGGCTCCGGGCATTCACAATGTGGCCCGGGAATGAAGTTCTGGGAAAGCTAAGAGCACGAAGAGGCCTACAGTTGGCTCCGGGCATTCAGAATGTAGCCCGGGAGTGTCTGGGAGGTCGAAGAGCGCGAAGTGGCCTACAGTTGGGTCCGGGCATTCAAGATGTGGCCCGGGAATGAGTTCTGGAAGTCGAAGAGCACGAAATGGCTTACAGTTGGCTCCGAGCATTCAGAATGTGGCCCGGGAGTTGAGTTTTGGGAAATCGAAAAGCACGAAGTGGCCTACAGTTGGCTCCGGGCATTCAGAATGTGGCCCGGGAATGGAGTTCTGGGAGGTCGAAGAGCACGAAGTGTGTGACTGTTTGCGAAAAGCGAATTCGGACCCAGCTCCCCGGATGCCGCCCGGACCCCCCTGGGGAGTCATCAGATGCTCTCTTTTGACCCTATTAGAAACCTATCAGTCTTCGCTGTTAGGTAAAAACCGTCCGATGGGGGCAAAGCGCTTTGGATCCCAACATATTGCGCTCGGCTCTCAGCTTGGCGAGAGCAGCCGGAGCGAAAGACTCCGCCGCCGTCTTCTCCTCGGCCGCGGCTGTGTCCAACACCTGCTGTAGCCTGGGAACATCGGCCACCACTTGATCACGTTTATAATTACAACCCTTCCAGTGGCTGTCCGTCTTCTGGTAGCTGGTCGCACCATTGGGAGAAGTTGCACCAGACTTGAACTGCTTCTGGAAAACCTCGATCCGACCCTTGAGCAGATTCTTCATCTCGGGGTCGGCCATGCCCTCCTTGGCCCCGATGAGATGATCAGCAACCGAAATTGGCTCTGAACATGGTGAGATTGCCAAAGCAAATGTCCCGCACACGAAGTCATGTCGCAGTGCATCGTTCCACTCGCACCTCCTGCACAAGAAACGACTCCAATGACGAGTGCTCCTGTCGAACCAAGCCGACATGGCGAATGATTAAAATATTGTTGTAGCGATTGGCACCTTCAAGAAAGGAAAAAAGACCCCGCTCTGCGTGCCTCAAGCGGAGCGGGGCGCCCTCTGCAAGATACCTGGGCCAAAATGGCTCGAACGACTGGCAGCTGGAAGAGGACGAAGAGAATGAATATGAGAAGGAGGAGGACGACGACGACGACGATGACGACGACATTGACGACGACGACGACGACGAGCAACTGAAGGACTCGGAAAAGAATGAAGATGAGGAAGGGATCGGGAGGGAAGGGTGGCGTTCCGCCTCCCTCTGTTCCCCCCGTCGCCCGAATCCCCCCCACTGCGACTGGGCTACCCGGGAGGCACCCTCGAGTTCTGAATCCGAAAAACATGGACGGGCGAGCGCTGCAACCCGTGCCCCCATCAAACCCTTACTTGCCCCCACCTCGTACCTTTTTGTCCCCCCCCCCCTCCCTCCTTCCCACCGACCTCCGCCGACCCCGACGCGTAGTCCCTCCACCCCCGCGACCCCCCCGCGGACATCCCCGCGCCGCCCCGCCTGCCAGGCACCCTGCTTCTCCCCTTCTTACCCCCTCGGTGCACAGAGTCGCCCCGTCCGACCGAATTCCCAAGCTCGAGAATATCCTTCCGTCTCCAGGGCCCCTCCCCCTCTCCGGCTCCCCTTTTTTTCCACTCCCCCATCAGCGCCCGCCCCGCCCCCCCTCTCAGGCCTTCCCCTTCGACCTCCCCCTCCTTCCTGAAACACCCCCTACTGGTCTGGATCCCGAGGCGGGCCCAGCCGCTGCGACTAACGCATTCCTGGATACCCCCAATCACGACGCACCCAACCCACGTGCGTCAAGTGGCCAGGATAAATGCTCAAAGCTGTGATAATAGATGAGCGATGTCAAAACAAGAACTGACACTTGCTCTAACTATCCCGGCAAAGCAACCTAACAGCGATGTGTAAAAGCATAGCTGGAAGCATTGCCTATGGTATTCATGTAGGAGTGCTGGTGTAGATTTTTTTGTTCTCGCAGTCGCATTCGGATTCGCAGTGGCAGTCGCAGTGGCAACATCATCCCCAGTCGCAGTCGCAATGGCATTGCCAGTAGTTGCAATAACAATACCTACAGGAGCAGCAGCAGCAGCAGCAGCAACAGCAACACTAGTAGTAGCAGTAAAAGTAGCAGTGACGGTAGTAGTGGTACTAGTGAAGTAATAGTTGTAGTGGGTGCAGTGAACGAGAACTAGCATTAGAAACACGATTAGCAAGAGTAGTACAAACGAGACACTTCGATCAATCAGCCCATCCTCGAACGAGACACTGCTATCAATGAGTGGACTGTCGAACGACTCCATCGTGATCGAAAAGTGAATCTCCAAATGAGATGTTTGTAACAATTTATTGGTCTAAACGAGACGGTGCTATCAATGGGTGTAAGTCCAAACGAGACACTGTCGCGCGCCCTATGTCGGCGCGTGCTGGACCAGGCACATGCGGCGCCCTATTTCGGCGCGCACATATGAGGGGCCCATGTTTGTGTGTGTCTGTTGGAGAATCCTGAAACGCGCACCGCCCTGCTGCGAGCAGGCAGTGGAAGGAGCGAGGAAGGGGTATCAACCTTGACCGCCCGCCCCCGTCCCCTTCCCGTGACCGCACTCCGCGGCCGGGCGCAGGCGCGGCCGGCCGGAGCAAGCAGCCGGCCGGGGCAGCCGGCCGGCCTCCCCTCCTCGTCCTCCTCCTCCTCCTCCTCCTCCTCCTCCCTGCTCGTCCTCGTCCTCCTCGTCTTGCTCGTCTTCCTCCTCTTCGTGCAGCCGGCCGGGGCAGGCAGCCGGGGCAGCCGGCCGCCCTCTCCTCCTCGTGTTCGTCCTCCTCCTCCTCCTCCTCCTCCTCCTCCTCCTCCTGCTCGTCCTCCTTTTCCTGCTCCTCCTCTTCGTCCTCCTCCTCCTCCTCCTCCTCCTCCTCGTCCTCTTGCTGGTCCTTGTCCTCCTCGTCCTGCTGCACGAAATGGCCAACAGTTGGCTCCGGGCATTCAACATGTAGCCTGGGAGTGGCGTTTTGGGAAATCGAAGAGCACGAAGTGGCGTACGAGTGGCTTCGGGCATTCAAAATGTGGCCCGGGAGTGAAGTTCTGGGAGGTCGAAGAGCACGAAGTGGCCTACAGTTAGCTCTGGGCATTCAAAATGTGGCCCGGGAGTGAAGTTCTGGGAAGGCTAAGAGCACGAAGAGGCCTACAGTTGGCTCCGGGCATTCAAAATGTAGCCCGGGAGTGGAGTTTTGGGAAGGCTAAGAGCACGGAGTGGCTTACAGTTGGCTCCGGGCATTCAAAATGTGGCCCGGGAATGGAGTTCTGGGAAATCGAAAACCACGAAAAGACCTACAATTGGCTCCGGGCATTCAAAATGTGGCCCGGGAATGAAGTTCTGGGAAGGCTAAGAGCACGAAGAGGCCTACAGTTGGCTCCGGGCATTCAGAATGTAGCCCGGGAATGGAGTTCTGGGAGGTCGAAGAGCACGAAGTGTGTGACTGTTTGCGAAAAACGAATTCGGACCCAGCTCCCCGGATGCCGCCTGGACCCCCCTGGGGACTCATCAGATGCTCTCTTTTGACCCTGTTAAGAACCTACCAATCTTCGCTGCTAGGTAAAAACATCGCGGGATGCCCGCCCGTCGCATGCCTCACAGGACGGCGACGGAAAGAAGAAGAGCGAGGCCCCATGCTCGAAGGGTAAGGGAGCGGAAATGAATGGGAGAACTAGGACGGAAGCGCGGCGACAAGGAAAAGCCAACGCGCCAGCAGCGGCAGCAGCAGCAGCAGCAGAGGGAATGAGGAACATGACAACAACAAAATAGGAGCGACGAAGAAGGGGGCTGACGATTTCCAAATGTCTCGTTGATGGGCAGCGACGCCGATGTCAGTTCGCCTTGGCGAAACGGACCCTTCTTCGAAATGGATGCATTAATCAATGAGTTTCTTCGTTTTTCCGGCCCCCCTCCTGCACCTATCGACGCTGGAACTAAGCGCCCGCAAGCGCGCCGCCATGTCTGCGGGCGGCCTGCGGGAAGGGGAATCGAGCCCGATATCGTTCATCATCAGAAGGAGGTTCTCGACCTCCGTGGCCAAGGCCAAGTTGAGCATCGCGTAAAGATACAGCCGCACACCGTCCAGGTCGTCCGCGTCCTTGCGCTCACCGTCGAGAGTGACTCCGCGGTGAAAGGTTTAACCCTGCCAGGCCGTATACATCAGGCCTCGACAAAAGAAACAGGCTCGCACTCTGCAGCCCCCCGAGAATGGTTAGGTCGAACCTGGTCTTCGTAGGGCGTCACTCCGCTGGAACAGCCAGCAGCCCTGAAAAGAGGCGACCTCTTCGCAGTTCACAACCCCCCAGCACGCGCGGCCCCCTAAGGATGGCGAGGTCAAGCCAGAATCCGCGTAGGACGTCGCTACGCAAGGCTCATCACCAGCCCTCGAACTTGAACTTGCAGCAGTTTCGCAGCTCGCAGCCCCCCCAAGGATGGCGACGTCGAGTCAGACTCCGCGCGGGGCGTCGCTACGTTGTGCCACCCAGCAGCTCTCGAAGTGGCGATAGTTTCGCAGTTCGCAGCCACCCAAGGATGGCGAGATCAACCCGGAATCCCCGTATGACGGTGAAGCCATCGAAAGTGGCGGCAGACTCGCATTCAGCAGCCCCCCACGCACGGCGAGGTATAATATGAATCGCAAAATGACGCACGTCACGGCGCTGGGCCCCCCCAGCAGCCCTCGAAAGCGGCGGCACTTTCGCAGGTCGCAGCCCCCAGGGATGGCGAGGTCGAAACTGAAACCCCGTGTGACGTCAGCGCGCTGGGCCCACCAGCGGTTTTTCAGTTCGCAACCCCCCGGACATGGCGAGGTCGACCCCGGATGACGTCACTGCGGCGTGCCCCCCCGTAGCCCCCAAAAGTGGCGACCGTTTCACAATTCGCAGCCCCACAGGCCTGGAGACGTGGCAGGCAGGTAGGAGGCACGCAGGAAGTAGGAGGCAAGACGTAAGAGGGGGGATACTGAGGAGAGAGCAGGAGGGAGGCGGGAAAAGGAAGTGGAGACCGCGTTTCCCAACTCAAAACAAGAGCTCGATGGAGGATTGGGAAAATTACCAGCGGCGTACACAACCTCGTCTAACGTGAGGCGACGATCAGTAGACGAGGAGCGTCTCCTACAGAAGAACACATTGAGAGATATGCTGCACTCTTGAACACTTCGCCAACCAACATCGAACCACACGCGCCGCCCCCATTGCAAGCACACGCTCTCGCAACTCCGATCGCAAAGGGATTGCAACAACGAGCGCACTACTGAACATGATACCGGGGGACAGAAGGAGGAGGGAGGAGGGTACGAAAGGCTGGTGAGAGTAACACAGCATCGCGCTACATCTGCATAGGTCACTCCTGAACTGTGCGATGCGGTGTGTCCCTGACGAGGGCAACTCGCGAGCTCCAGCCAGCATGTGCGCATGAATGACTCCACTCCGCTGGGCCTCCCAGCAGCTAACAAAAGTGGCGGCGGTTGCGCATTTGACAGCACCCCCAGAGAGCCACGAAGTCTGTTCTGGGTATGCACATGATACCACTCCGCTGGGCCCCCCTGGAACCCACGAAAGGGGCGACAGTTGCGCAGGAAGAAGCACCTCCAGGGACGGCGAAGTCTTGTATGGGTGTGCGACACACGCCATTCCGCTGGGCCTGCCAGGAGCCCTCGAAAGTGGCGACGGTGGCGTAAGTGGAAGGGCCCTCAAGGACGGACAAGTCTAGCTTCGGTGTGCGTAAGACGCCACCCTCTGGGCCTCCCAGTAGCCCACGGGAGTGGCGACAGTTGCTCGTTTGGCAACCCCGACAGGGACGGGGAGTTCTAGTCCGGGTGTGCGCAGAACGCCACTCCGCCGGGCCTCCCAGGAGCTCACGAAAATGGCGACAGCTGGCCAGCTGGAAGCACCTCCAGGAGCAACGAGGTCTAGCCTGAAGTGCGTAAGACGCCGCCCCGCTGGGTTTTCTTTAAGAGCCCACGAGAGTGGCAACACTTGCGGAGGCGGACGCAACAACAGGGAAGGCGAGGCCGAGTCTGGCTGTGAGTAAGACGCCAGTTCGCTGCG